AAAGAATAAGACAGGAATGTGATTATAATCCCTCAACGTGGGTGATGAAGGGTATTTCAGTTCTTCCTGGATGTATCTTGATATCTTTTTAAAGGACTCAACTTTCCAGAGATACAGGGAAATTAAAACTGGTGTATATATATAGGGGTAGTATTGAATAGGAAAAAAGGACTAACTTGAAGCTTATAGCTATGTATATATATATAAAAAAAAGTATATATTTCGAAAAAGTTCAAGTTAAAAGTTACTAAGTAGGGGCACCTGGGTGGCTCAGTGGGTTAAGCCTCTGCCTTTGGCTCAGGTCATGATCTCAGGGTCCTGGGATTGAGCCCCACATTGGGTTCTCTGCTCAGTAGGGAGCCTGCTTCCCCCCCCGGCCTTCCTCTCTGCCTGCCTCTTTGCCTACTTGTGATCTCTCTTTGTCAAATAAATAAATAAAATCTTAAAAAAAAAAGTTACTAAGTAGTATGTTGTATTAAACATCTAGTTGAAATGGTAAGTAGGTAAAAAGAAAATAAGAACAAGAATTATGAGAATGAATTTAAAGGAAAAAAAAAGTTGTAACTACAAAATATACAGGCTGTGGTGCAATACCAGGAGCTTAATATATTGTTTTCCCCTGATGTTGGGGTTTTACAGTTTTATGGGCACCCTATGGTTATTGTCCTCTTGTTCTTTCTGCTTGTCTTCTGGAGGCGGGGCCTGCTGCATTGTTTCTCAGTCAGTCCTATTTGAGTCGTGTTGCCCTGCACCCTACCAAGGGACTGGGCTTGGTGGAAACCAGTTTTTCAGGGTTTTGTTCTCTGGAGGCTTTGTTCTTTGGTGATTTTTTGTTCCTTTTCAAAGGATCAGAGCAAAGAAACTCTCTGCACCCAGACCTCTGCCTCAGAGAGGAGTCACAGTCTGCTCCTCTCTGAATGGTCCAGATCACATCGACCCTGCCTCTGCAAACTCTGTTGAACACTGCAACCTCCCACAGCAGTGTATACCGCAGCCACCATCTCAGTGGTCGCTCGAGGCACCCGCTTGTCTCTGTACCCCCGTGCCACCAAAACTGAGAGTTATATTGGTCGGGGTGAGCTTGGTGCTGGTGGCTGCCATTCCTGGGATCACTGACTGGAGCCCATGGCCACGCCGGGTACGCTCAGCTCCCATGGTAGTGGAGGCAGCGGAGGCAGCTGTGGTGGTCGCAGACCCAGGGACTGCCAACTGGAGCCCATGCCGGGTTCTCCTATGTGTGGATGGGTGCTGGCTGTGGCTGTCTTGGGATGGTGGGCTTAGGTCCATGCTCGCTACTGCCCAGTCCCATCAATTGTCCCTTAAGTCCCTTTGTTCTGTTTGAGTGCTGTTATTAATCCCTTTCCATCTCGCAGCCACTGATCTCCAAGCTAATGCTGGTCACCAAATGCAGGGCACTTTTTCATTGGTGCATTACTTTCCATTGGGTTGGTTCTGATGATTCCCTCTCCCTTCTTTGTATCTTCTGATATCAGTCTATGCACTTCCAACTCCTCTGTACCTCTCCACTAACGATTCTCTGCTCCTGTAGAGATCCAGAAGAGTATATCTTACATCTCAGGATGTTTTCATGGGTGTTCAGAGTGCTCTGGTAGATACAAAGCTCACTTCAGGGGACTGGTTGAAATAGGGTCTCCTATTCCTCCACCATCTTGCCCCTCCCTCCAAAGATTTTATTTCTTGACTTAGATGATCTATTGCTGAGAGTGGAGTGTTGAGGTCTCCTGTTATTACTGTATTATTATCAATATTTCTCTTTATTTTAGTTAATAGTTGGCATATGCAGTTGTCTGCTCCCATATTGGGGGCATAAATATTTACAGTTGTTAGATTCTCTTGTTGGACAGACTCTTTTAGCACAGTATAGTGTCCTTCTGTATCTCTAACTACAGCCTTTAGCTTAAAATGTAATTTGTCTGATATGAGAATTGCTGTTCCAGTTTTCTTTTGAGGTCCGTTGGCATGAAAAATGATTCTCCATCCCTTCACTTTGAGTGTGGATATATGTTTAGGTTAAAAATGCATCTCTTGTAGACAGCATATGGGTGGATCATGTCTTTTTATCCAACCTGCAACCCTGAGCCTTTTCATGGGAGCCTGTAGGCCATTCATTTTGAGAGTGATTATTGAAAGATATGATTTTATTGTCATCATGTTCCTGTGAAGTACTTGTTTCTACAGAGTGTCTCTATAAATTTCCGATCTATATCACTCTTGGGTTCTTCCTTCTTTTATAGAAGCCCCCCTTAATATTTCTTGCAGGGCTGGCCTTGTGGTCACATATTCTTTCAGTTTCTGCTGGTCTTGGAAACTCCTCGTCTCTCCATCCATTCTGAATGATAGCCTTGCTGGATAAAGTATCTTTGGCTGTATTTTCTTCTCATTTGGTACCCTGAATACGTCTTGCCAGCCCTTTCTGGCTTACCAGGTCTCTGTGGACAGGTCTGACGTTATTCTGATGTTCCTTCCTCTGTACATAAGAAATCTCTTCCCCCTCACTGCTTTCAAGATTGTTTCCTTGGATCTAAGATTTTCAAATTGTACTATTATATGTCATGGCGTTGGTCTGTTCTCATTGATTTTTTGCAGGGGTCCTTTCTGCCTCTTGGACATGAATGTTTATTTCCTTCCCCAGATTAGGGAAATTTTCATCTACGATTTGCTCAAATATATCTTCTAGACCTCTCTCTATCTGCACCCCCTCAGGATTAACAATAATTCTGATACTGGAACATTTCATTGAGTCACTAATCTCTCTGTTTAATTCCTTGGATTTCAGTTTGATTTTCCTATGTCACCTTGATATCCTTCTTTTCTGTCATTTTATCCTCTATCTCACTAGTTGATTCTTCTGCCTCGTTTACCCTGTCAGTCAGAGTATCCAGCTCAGACTGCATTTCATTCACTGTATTTTTACATTTAGCCTGATTGGATCTCATTTCTGCCCTTAGAGATTCTACATTGTCGTTAATATTTTTCTTAAGCCTAGATATCATCTTTATATTTGCTATTCTGAAGTCAATATCTGACATCTTGGTTATATACATTTCCATTAGTTCTGTGGCAGAGGCCACAGTCTCTGAATCTTTCCCTTTTTGGGGGTTCCTCCTCCTAGTCATTCTGTTGAGAGGTGGTTGAGGGAATTTACAGAGTCCAAATTATTGACCACAATACAAGCAAGATATACCCGTTTTATAGAAACCTTAGGGTTGTAGGCCTCTTGTTCTTCCACCCTGTCTTCTGGGGAAGGGGCCTGGTGCGCTGTTTCTCAGAAAACCCTATTTGGGCAGAGTTGCCCTGTCCCCTGTGGCAGGGAGGGGCTCGGTGAAAACTGTTTTGTGGGGCTTTTATTCTCTGGAGGCTTTCCCTGGCAGTTTTCTTTGTCTCTTCGGAGACAGCAGAAGTGCTCTCTGTCTCAGAAGAGCAAGATTGCAGTCTGTTCTTCAAGGAGCCCTCCTGGCCACATTGTCTCCTTTTCTGTCTGTGCTGCTAAATGCTGCAATGTCCTGGGTTGTGCGCCCCACAGCAGCACTCCCAGCCCTTGCTTACTGGTCTGGGTATGTCTCTGCCCTTTGTGCTTCCAAAATCACAAGCTGTCCCTGATTTGCCTGTGTGCCCCCACAGCTCCAGGTTTCTGTCTGAGAGGTTGCCTTAAGGTACTTTCCCCCATGGCTATTGGTCTGTGAACCTGGGTGCTTTTGCACTCCAGTGATGCAGGATCCTGGAGGCTCCCACCCCCTTCTGTTTATCTTCAGTTATCTGCCCAAAGAATCACAGCTCCCTGCTTCATACCTAGAGACCAACCCCTGGATATACTCTGTTTATAGAAAGCCAGATATAAGGGCACCTGGGTGGCTCAGTGGGTTAAGCCTCTGCCTTCAGCTCAGGTCATGATCTCAGGGTCCTGGGATCGAGCCCTGCATTGGGCTCTCTGCTCAGCAGGGAGCCTGCTTCCCTTCCTCTCTCTCTCTACCTGCTTCTCTGCCTGCTTGTGATCTTTGTCAAATAAATAAATAAAATCTTTAAAAAAGAAAGAAAGAAAGAAAGAAAGCCAGTTATATCTTCTTACAACTCAGGCTAATTTCGTGGGTATTCAGAATGGTCTGGTAGAGATCCGGGTCAGTTCAGGGGACCAGTTGAAATAGGCTCCCCCAGTCCTCTGCCATCTTTTTGTGGGTCTCTAATTTTTCTTATTATACTATTGAACTTTATCACTAGCTCTTGATTCCCAAGGAGCACCATGTAATCCAGATAGTAATAAGTATTTTGGGCAGGAATAATTACACAAAAATAAAACCCAAAGTAATTTTTATTAAGGCAATTTCAGATAAGGTGTAGAGATTTTGACCTGCAGAATTTTGGAATGGGGAAAATAATCACTGATTGATCCCTTAAAATTAAAATAATTTTACTAAAATTAATGGGGAAAATTAGAAGTGGTTTAAGTGTTACATAGAAAATATATTAAGGAATTGAACTGACATTAAGAAACTACTTTCTCAAAGTAAATTAGTCCATGTACTTTGTAGTAGAATGTTCACAGTCATAGATTGGAATAAAAAACGTCCCTAGGATCAACATGGTGGTGGGGTTAAAATAAGAAGAGGTGTGTGTGAGAATAGCCTACAACCATCCTAAATTATACAGCTTCTCATCCCTGACCAAGTTGGGCCTGAAGAACCCCTGAGAGTATGGCTTCCTCAGAGTGCCTATTGAGACCATGTTGTATGAGGAAACTTGGGCCTTTTTTTTGTAGTTAGCACATGAGTTAGCTCTCTGTCTAGTGCCTGCTGTCTTTGGTTGATTTCAAATGTTATTGTTAATTTTTGCTTTACTTCCATCAAATATTGCTGATATGGAAATATACTTTTCAAGAAGATGAATTTATACTGCTTAACCTTTAAATATAGAAAATTTGTCTCGTTTAAGAAAGATAAATATCTTAAAATCAGCAAGTGACTTTAACATGTTTTTATTTTTAGTAAACACATTTATGGATTACTACCGAAAATTTCCACCGGGTATACACTTTGATTTACAAGTGCTAAATGACCTTCTAAATTCTTTACTCAAACATTGTTTATTGAAAGAAGTATTTCAGGTAGTGAACCTCAGCATAATGGTTAAAATGCTGGTAAGTAAACTGAAAATATATTCTTTTTAATATTATAAGTAGATTTCTCTGTTACATTTCTTACTTGTATAATTTAGCAGTTAAACTTCTGTGTTTATTGTATACTTCCTAGAGAACACTTGTATATTTAAGCATAAATGAATTTGAGAAACTTAAGGTAGAAGACATTAAAATGAGTAAATTTTTTGTTTTATCCAGCCCGCTCTGAAAATATTACTAAAAATATTTGAACACGTGGCAACTATGAAATTAAGGAATGCTGTACCTGCTTTAATTGATATATTTTGCAAGGTATGCTTTACTTTAATCTGTTTTATTCTCTGATAGTGAATAACTTAAAAAATAATTATTTCCACTTATATTCTTAAACTACCTCTTACTCACATTCTTGATGCCAAAGAATCCTATTTTCAGAAATTTTTTTTTCTCTTGAAATAGGATTTATAAGCATATTCCAATGACTGATAGGCCTTCCCCTTAGATAAATCATTCCAAGCACTTCTTTCTGATTTATGAGGTCATAGTTACACCTTAAAGATGATTAAAGAAAACTCTTTTTATCCAAAAGTTATGAGTTCATTTATTAACAAAAATAAATACAAAGATCAATATATAAATAGAAAACCATGACCAAAACAAAGAAAGTATATAGGGAGAAACATGGAGGTTCTAGGAATTGATTTTATATTTGGCACTAAACAAAAAGATAAAAGAATTTTTATGGCTTTTTGAAGATATATTAAAATTTGTGCTTTTGGATACTTACTGGTATTTAGCATTGCCCAGCCATCCATTTCAGAACAGGCTAATATCAAGAAAACCCCATTTTTTTTGAGGAGCAGCATTAGAACCACTGTAGCAGAATATACAAATATTTTGGTGAACATCTCCAGGTCCACATTACAAAACTTGACAGAATTACCTGCCTAGAAATTTTTTGAAGTAGAAATTAGTGGTTATCACTAGTAGTTTTAGAAAATCTCAGTTTGATACTTCTCAGGAAGTTTACAATCTGGGATGAAATATAAACACAAGTGCTAGTAAGCTAAAGACAAAATGAGTATCACACAGGAAGTACAGGTGATAAATTCATTGAGACAACTTGGAAAACAGAATATTCAGGTTTTGAATTCAAACATTATTTTCACATTCACTTTAAATTCTTGAAGAAGGGTGTCTTACTGTGGTTCTCAAATATTGGAAGAAAATGTGCTTTGAGTTTTTTAAGTGAATTTTAATTCCACTTGACTCCTTGTTTCATTTTTTTTTTCACCATTTTTTTTTAAAGATTTTATTTATTTATTTGATAGACAGAGATCACAAGCAGGCAGAAAGGCAGGCAGAGAGAGAGATCACAAGTAGGAGGAGAGAGAGGGAAGCAGGCTCCCCGCCGAGCAGAGAGCCTGATGCGGCACTCGATCCCAGGACCCTGAGATCATGACCTGAGCCGAAGGCAGAGGCTTTAACCCACTGAGCCACCCAGGCGCCCCATTTTTCACCATTCTTATAGTTGTTACATTACTGATTTTCAAGCTCTCATATTTGTATAGGAATGACTCCTTTTTTTTTTTTTTTCCTCTGTAGTTTGTTGAAGCTGGGATGATATTTGATGCAGAGCACTTTAACTATATTGTCAAGCTCTTATACCAACTACAGGCTTCCCAACAAGAAATAACTGCAGTTCTGGAAATGAAATCCAGGTAAGAAAAGTCATTATAATTAAGGTTACATCATATATATGATGTATGTGTATATATATATGATGTATATGTATACATCATATATATATAATGTATACATATATAATATATGTGTATATTTTTAGGGACTTACAAAGGTTGAAAGCAAAGCACTTATTTATCACTATTCATATTCGAAACATCTTGATAGTGGCACACCATAAGCCTTTCTCCCATCTCTTGAATATGTCCTAGTCATTAGTTGGGCTGCCTCTAGACAGCCTTTCTGGTCAGCCTCACCAAATCTTTCTCAGTACTTGATTCATCTCAGTGCCTGGCACATCAAGTGTAAAAGGAATCTCTTATCCTCTGTTTCAGAACTAACTTAATTATACTTAATGCACTCTCTTTTATGTGTATAAATTACCTTAATTCTTTTGTTTCTTTCATTTCTTTTCATGTTAGCTAAACAAAATACCTTAATGCTTCTTCTTCATTCTTTCTCTCACTTGTTCACTCTCTCTATATGGCTTATGGGCCTCCCAAGGCCTTTTTATTTGGAAACCTATGATAATTATGGATAGTATCATAATATACCTATATTGAGAAAAAGGAAAACCATGACTTTTATAGAAATTTTAATTAAACTGTTACATACATAGTGTTACTAATTTTAAGTATTTAAAGGAGCCATGACTTTTTAATGAAATCATATTTGATAAAGTACAAATAATATCAACCAGCAAAGTCCTTGAGAATGCCTAGAAAGCTCCTTCATACAGCTTCTACAACTGTTGTCATCTCATTTCTCATTATCTTCTAATAGAGAGGTTTTCAGACTTCTTGGTTCGTAGTGTCCATAGGCCAAAAGAAGTACATTAATTGTCTTATTTATTAATCAGTTAGATCCAAACAAGTTGATAGTAACAATTTGATGGTATCTGACAGAAGGTGCTTTGAAAATTTAAAATAACCTGTGGAACTCCTCTGAATTTGCTTTAGTGCCCTGGATGTCATGGTACACAGCTAGGGAATTGCAGTGATTCTGCTAAGTGATGCTGTTTCCTTTGAAGCACCAGTATTGAAGATATATTTGGCTTTTTCAAGTTCTGTGGGTTTTTTCATTTCTTCAACTAATGGTAATTAATATTTAGGTTGTCTATAAAAATTATAATACTATTTAGGTTAAATAGATTTTTGGGACTACCTAAGAAATAAGTTTTTGTGAGAAAAATACAATTTGTCTAGCACAGATTTCTGAGATATAATCAATTTATAATAACGAAAGTATATTGATATTTTCTTCCAAACATGAAGTCATTATTCTCCTGATCTATATGGCATTTTGGACAGTGACACCTATGACAGAGAGCTCAGATGGCTAGCAGATGTTCGTCTCTGTCAGACTGAGAAGCTTCTGGCACAAGGGAAGTGTGCACTTCTAGATGCAACAGGAGCAGCATTACCCTGTATCCAGTATAGCTATACAACTCCACCTTTCAGGCAATGATTGGGAAAAGGATCTCTTGACTCCAGAACAAACCAGACTTAGTTTTCTAATTTTCAAATTGACATGATCACACAAATATTTTTGTAGCTTATTTTACAACCCCTAATTCTGAAAATTGTATACATATACACTCTGCTTCTTCCTGTTCTCCCACTTCAAAAGAATTATCTAGTATTTTTAAGAGGAATTAACATTGGTGGCCTATTTGATGAAGGACAAACTAGGATAATAACTGTGGGTAGTTAAAGGGTATGGGTTGTGGTTAGGGATGTGGACCTGGCCTCAATGCAAAAGGAAAAAAAGTTTAGTATTTATCATTTTATGTTCGAATTTTCCTGACACCCTTTGAAATAATTACCCTTTTTTGTGCTAGGGAAATGAGTTTTAATGAACACTTATACTTTGATTTTGATTATAGTTTTTAATTAGGTAGTTTGTAGTTCATTAGAAAGGCTTTCACATTCATAAAGAATTCCAGCATATTCAGGATATCAATGAGAATTTAGGTGTGTTTATAATCTAGGATATTTAATATACATTTAATGACTTTAAAATTTTTTTATTTTGAAATAATTTTAGATTTACAGAATGTTGCAAAAATTAGTATAGAGACTTCCCACACATCCTTCATCTAGCTTCCTTTCATGTTAACATCCTACATAGTAAGTGTGCAGTTATCAAAACCAAGAAATCAGTAGCCATAAAATCCAATTAACTGCACATCTCAGTGCATCCTAACTGGAGGTACATAGGGCCAACATATCTTATTACTGATTATGTTAACCTTTATAACTTAGTTAAAAATGTTATCTGCCAGTTTTCTACACTGTAAAGTTACTGTTTGTCCCTTTATAACTAATATTTTGGGCAAAAGACTTTAACATTATACATTATCTTGTTTCTCCTCAAACCTTTATGCATTAATTTTAGTATTCATCAGGGGCTTTTTCCTACAGGTTACTACTGTGGCATTTGCCCAAAGGTAATTCTTTATTTTCCCTATTTCTTCTACATTTATTAATTGGGAATTTTGAGTAAAGAAGAGCTTTCCCTTCTCCATTTATTTATTTATTCATTTATATCAGTATGAACTCATGGGTATTTATTTTATCTTATGGGTTATATATAATCTAATACTATTATTATTTATTTTTTTGGTCAAATTCTTCTAGATTTGACCTTTGGAAGTCCTTTAGGGTTGTTCCTATATCCTTTCATCATGTACTATTCATTTTTCTACCATTTTCTAATTTTTTGGAGCCACGGAGTTGTTTTAAGTTTCATCTTCTGTTTACCCTGTCCCAACATTTGCAACAACTAAGGAGACTTAGCAGTCTTAAATGTGTATGCAGCAGACAACAGAGTTTCAAAATATATGAAACAAAACTGATAGAACTGAACAGATAAAATAGACAAATCTGTAACTTTAGTTGGAGACTCTATAAAATCAAATTACCAAAGAAGATAGCAAGAAAGGAACAGAGGAACTACAAAAATAGAAAACAATTTAACAGAATATGAGTACTGAGTCCTTGCGTATCAATATTACTTTAATATGACTAGATTAAATTCTCTAATTAGAAGAGTGTCTGGATGGATTAAAAAACAAGACTGCCTTCAAGAGACTTACTTTAATATGCTGCCTTCAAGAGACTTACTTCAACTATAAAGACACATTTATGCTGAAAGTGAAGGGATAGAAAAAGCTATTCCATGCAAATGGAAGCCAAAAGAGGGCAGGCTATACTTTTATCAGAAAAACTACACTTTAAGTAACAAGAGACATGGTCATTATATTGTGATAAAGGAGTCAGGTCAAGAGGATATCACAAATATAAATATATATGTGTACCCAATAACAGAGCAGTCCAACACAGAAAGCAAATCTTAATAGATCTAATGGAAGAAATAGAAACCAGTGTAATAAAAGTAGGGGATTAATGCCCATTTTCAACAATGCATATGTCATCCAGCAGAAAATCAGTAAAGAAACATGTGACTTGAACTGCACTTTAGACTAAATGGACCTAATATACATATACAAACTATTCCAACCAACAGGAGCAGCATATATTTCTTCTCAAGCACACTCAGACCATTCTCAGGATATATCATACATTAGTTCACAAAACAAGTCAAAAAATTTAAGAATATGGAATCAACTATCTTTCCTCATCAATATGAAACTAGAAATCAAAAATAAGAGGAAAACTGGAAAATCCACAAATATGTGGAAATTAAACAACATACTCCTGAACAACCAGTGAGTCAAAGAAGAAATCAAAAGCGAAGTAAAATAAAAAATCTTGGACAAATGAAAATGGAAACACAACATACCACAATCTATGGGATTATAGCAAAAGCAGTTCTAAGAGGGACATTGATAGTGATAAATGCCTACATTAAGACAAAAAGGGGATCTCAAACCTAACTATATGTACACCTCGAGGAACTAGAAAAAGAACAAACTGAGTCAGGTTAATGGAAGGAATAAAGATCAGAGGAGGAATGATTAGAGACTAAAAAACAATAGGAGAGAAAATAAAACTGGTTGGTTGGTTTTGAAAAGAAAATTGAAAAACCTTTAGCTACACTGAAGAAAAAGAGAGCATACTCACATAAATCGAAACGAAAGAGGCATCATTACAACTGATAGCACAGAAATACAAAGGCTCTACAATTACACACCAAATAATTGGATAATCTAGAAGAATTGAATAAATTCCTAGAAATATATAACCTAACAAGTTTGAATCATGAAGAAATGGAAAAAGTGAACAGACCAATTTTGAGTACAGAGATTGAATTAGTAAAACAAAACAAAAAAGCAACTCCCTGTAAAGAAAAGCCCAGGAATAGATGGCTTTACTGCTGAATTTTACCAAACAGTTAAGGAAGAATTAATACAAATCCTTCTCAAACCCTTCTAAAAACTTGAATGTGAGGGGACACTCCCAGACTCCTTTACAAGTCTAGCATTACTCTGATACCAAAGTCAGACAAGGATACTACAAAAACTGAAAACCATAAGATGATACTCCTGATAAACATAGATACAAAAATTCTCAACAAAATATTAGTAAACCAAAATCAACTACACATGATATAACAAGATAAACTGGGATTTATCCCTGGGATACAGTAATGGTTCAACATGTGCAAATCAGTAAATATGATTTAGCACATTAACAGAATAGAGGATAGATATCAAATGATTCAATTGATGCGGGTAAAGCATTTACCAGAATTTAACACCCTTTTGTGATAAAAACTCTCAATACATTAGGTATAGAAAGAATGTACCTCACTCTAGTAATGGCCATCTATGACAAGCCCATAGCTGACATCATACTTAACAGTAAAAAAGCTGAAATATTTTTCTCTGAGGTCAGGAACAAGGAAATGATGCATACTGTCACCACTTCTATTGAGCATAATGCCAGAAGTCCTAGCCAGAGCAAATAGGCAAGAAATAAGAGACATTCAAATTAGAAAGCAAGAATTAAAATAG